GTATGCCTCCTTTTGCAGGGGGTGGGGGTGGGGGGAAAGAGGGGATTGCCATCCAGGCATGCTAAGCCTAGGGTTTGAGGCAGTCAGTTAGACCCATCTGCTCAGATTTAAACTACTTGGCCCCCAGACAGGCGTTTCTCAAAGCACACCTCTGTGTCCCTCTGGGAAATGACAGTGAGGGTTTCTGTCAGTTTCTTCCAGGCTTAAGATCAGGAATGACTGGGGGTCAGAAGAGAGAGTAGCCATATCTGTGATCTCTCCATCTCCCCATCCCTCCCTTTCTTCTTCTCTTCCCTTCCTCCCATCTATGACCCATCTTTTGCTATAGAACAGACTTAGGACTTGGGCTCTAGAACCAGAGGACCCTGGAATTATCCAGCTCAATCCTCATCTACAGATGGGGCTCTGAGAAAGCAAGCTGCCTATCACAGAGCAAACCAGGGCTGAGCTCAGTGCTGTAACCAGCTTTCCTGGCCCCTACCTGGGGGTTCCTGGAAACAGCCACCTGGCCCCCACCGTCTCCACCAAGATGTCAGCCTTCAGGGAAAGAAGCAGAAGTGAGAAGAGGGGATCAGTGGTGGGATCAGCATGACACACAGAACTGGTGCCTCCCTGGGTAAGACACATGCCCGGGGTGGGGCTAGGAAGGCATGGTCAGCAGAAAGCTCTCTGAAATACTGACTTGACTGATCAGATAACCAGTATCACCCTGGTGACTGAGGTGGACAACATACGTGCTCCCAGCAGCAAGAGTGTGATGCCCTGTCCTGCTTTGCCTGGCCAGCAGTCTTGTTCCCACTGAATTAGAGCCTGAGACCTAGGTGTCCAGCACAGGCCTTGCAGAGAGTGACCCTTGAGGAGAGCTAGACAGGGAAGGGGGATGAAAAGGGAAGGAGAAAGTTAATGGGCCCTAAAGATGATAATCTTCTCCCATGCCCCCAAGGGAGTCCCTTGTAAAATCCTCCTTATTATAGCAATGGGAGACTGGGGTGCAGGGATGACAGACTGGGTCCAGATCCCCCTGACAATCAACCCAAGTTTTGGCATCTTTTCTTTATCACTTTTCCATCCCGAGTAGATAAAAATATTCTGCCTGAGCTGGGTTCTGTTCTTCACCCACCAGGAAGAGATGAGCAGTTGGGAGGGGTCAGAGCTAGCCCAACCAAGTACAGGAGGTTTAAGCCACTCACTCAAAATCACACAGCTAAAAATAGAACCAGGGAAATTCTGCTAGAACCCAGATCTATTTTGTTGTCCTTCATTTGCATTTTTGTAAGAGATACTCCCCCCACAGCCCCGTTTAGCCTCAAATCCTGGGTGATCCACCGGTGTTCTGGTTACAGGTATGAGCTCCAGAGCTGGGACGGGACCCAGATCTCTATTGTGATTCCTAGTTGCTCTCCATTTCCATTTCACCTGGAAGACATCAGGCAGAGGTACTGTTCACGTAAATGTTTGGGGACATTTACACGAATAGTAGTATAGAACAGACAGAGGCCACTGGAATGGCTCTGACTGTGATGTCTCTGGTATCAGGGGAGCTCAGAGCACTTGAGTCCTTGGAGGCCTTTGTCTCCAGTCTTCTAAGAGGAAAAGTTTTATTCCAGCTCCTGAGCATCCCACCCAAAGCCCCCACTGCCATCCCATTGTCTTTTTAAAAAATATTTATTTATTATGAATAATCCTGTCTCCATGTCTGTCTGCAAGCCAGAAGAGGACACCAGATCTCATTACACATGGCTGTGAGCCACCATGTGGTTGCTGGGAATTGAACTCAGGACCTCTGGAAGAACAGTTTTGACCTCTGAGCCATCTCTCCAGCCCCCATCCCATTGTCTTTATAATGGGACTGATTTAGTGCCCTGAACTTGTAGACGATGATGCCCTACTGTTGTGCTCTTGTGTTTGTAGACTATTCTTGTTCGTGTATGTAGTCTCTATGTGTTTGGTGCTGCGTGCTTGAGAACTATATATGTGTCCGTTCTCACAGTGTGTGGAAACTCGTATGTTTGTGCATGAACTGTTTGAGGGCACTCTGTGTGTTGAGTACCAATCTAATGGCATGTATATGACTACTCCACACCTATGTGCTGCAGAGTATATGGGCATGTGATATGTCCAAGGATCTCCTGATAGTGTGCTTGTAACCATTATGATGATTTGTCCCAGTCCGGTGTGCAAGAGGTTCAGTATGCCTAGGAGGCTTCAAGGCCGTTATGGATTGTGCACACCCCTCACCTTTGGGTGTGTGTCTGTGTGTACATATGTGTTACCTGGGGGAAATCTGTGAACAACATAGCAGCTACTGAGAATAGGAAAAGTCTAGCAGACATCTTGGGAGACCCTAAGCAAATCCCTTCTCCTTGCCTCCGTTTATTTCCCTTTCTACTAATAAGCTAGACAAGCCTTGAGCGCATTCTCATGTGAAATTCCTAGAACGAGGGACAGAAGCTGGTGGAACCACAGCATCTGGTGGATAGTTAGAAACTGGGGGAAATCGGACTGGCCTCGGTTCTAGTCAAGGAAGGCCAAATGAAGGGGTGGGCGGAGCAATTTAAGACTGGGTTACATCTCAGAGAAGTCCTGTTCAGTGTCATCTAGTTTCTGAAACCTGGTCCTCTGCTGGGACCCAGCCCCTACAGATCGCTGGGTGGAGTTGCCCACAAGATTCCCCCACAATCAAGCCAGAGTCTAAGACAGAACGTCGACTTGGAGCCAGTTTACAAAGCGCTTCACATAGCAGAGCCCTAGCGTCTCCTAGAAGCGAGCGCCCCTCTGAGATGCCTAGAAAGATGGCCCCAGGAACCTTCCAGAATCAGGACTACGACAGAAACGCAGGGCTCAGGACCCCCAAAGCCTGCAGCAAGTAAGACACAAGAGCACAGGGTGGCATTGGTCTCCGCACCGTGGCCCAAGACAGACCCTCTTGTCTGGTTCAGGCTCTTTGCTGGTTATTACTAGCTTTCGAGGTGGGCCTTTCGAGCGCCAGGCGCGCGCTGCTGGCACACAGCAGGCACGCTTTCAACACTGGCTATGGAGAGCAAGTACCCTTCCGTACTGCAATAGGGTGCGAAGTGTCCCGGAGCGCCCGGCGGGCGCCGCGGGTCCGAGGCGTCATGGGGACCCCGCCTCCGCCCCGCGCGAGCCACCGGGTGGGGATTCGGCGCGCTGACGTGGGCGGATCAAAGCGGCGGTCCGCGCCTTATAAAGCGCTTGGACCGGCGGGCGCCGCAGATCGTGCCGGGAGAGGGGAGAGCTCCGAAGATCCGCGAGCGCAGGCCGGAGAGCGGAGCACAGCCGATAGCTGCCGGTATCCGCGCCCGGATTGCCAGGACCCACAGCGCCCTGCTGTGTGGCGTCTAGGAAAGGCTGTCTTCGCGCTCCTGCAGGCGGGAACCACACTCTCAGCACCCGAGGGCGGTCGGGGCTGCGGGGTACGCAGGAAGGGCCAGAAGAGTACCCCGAAGGTGAGCAGTGGCCGCGGGCAGATGCTCAGCGGGAACCCTGAGCCCTATTGGGCACCCACTCCTGGGGAAGCAAACCAAAGTGAACTTCGTTGCTCTTTCCTCACTTCTCTCCACTGCAACATTCCGAGTAAACCCCTCTCGGCGGAGCACAGCTGCAGGAATGACCCCGGGGACTAGGGGACTAGGGGCTGGCCGAATGGGGTGGGTTGTGCGGTTCCTTCAGTTCTCCCCCACCTCTTCTTCCGATTTGTCCCCCATCCCAGGACTCGGTCTCCTCCCTCGCAGTCTGCGGGTTGATGAGGTCACGCCCGAGCCATCCCGGGGGTGGGGGATTTGGATACCGCACCGAGGGTGTGTGTGAGGAGGCGGGAGAGGGGACAAAAGGCTGAGAGGTCCGCAGCTCCTACCAGAGCCGGAGGTGGGGAGCTCCGGGTGGTGAGAAGGGCTCCTGGAGGCAAGTGGTAAAGGGGGAGGGGGTGAATTTGTTTACCGACCTGAGCTCCAGGTTGGTGAGTGTGTGTGTGGGGGGGAGTCTTGCCCCAACCTTCTCCCCGCGTCCTGTCTGGAGCCGCTCCGAACATCTGACTTCCACCAGCCCATATCTCCCACCTGTGGCACTGGGGTGCCTCCAAGTCCCTCACGGTCTTTGGGAACGCAGGATCCGGTTCCATCGGGTGGCAGGAGTTCCGCACTCTCCCTTTCCACTTTCCAAACACCGCGTCTCCGCGGTGACCTGGCGCTACACAGAAGATCCTTAAAGAATCTCCGCTGAGCGGAAAACCAGGTCTCACGCAGCCTCGCAGGTAACCTTGAAGTTGTCGTTCGGCTTCTCTGTAGCACCCTTTTCGTTTTGAGAGCTTCGCGGCCAGGCTTCTGGAGTGGCCCGCTTGAACATTATACTGGTGCGGACGTTGTCCCGGTGCGCAGTACCAAATCCTGGGCCAGCATGGCACATTGAGGTTGGGAGTGGTTTGGCGAATCCTTGCCGGTTAGGCTGATAGGGGAGGTTACCTTAAGTGAAATTTCTAGAGCTCTAAACAGCTCCAAGCCTTAAGCCCACCTGTTGACTGCCAGGGACTGGTGTCCAGTGTTGCAAACTCCGGGAGGCTCGTTCCTCCGACTGCTGCAAGCTGGGTAGCTTGGACTTATTGTCCAAAGAGAAGAAGAAAGGGTTGCTCTCTTTTTATCTATAAGTACTGCCCTTTTTTTTCCCGCGGGCCCACTACGAGACTGTCCCCAGCGCAGGCTGGGAGCCCAGACTGAAGCAAGAGGTTGCATAGTTAGTTCAGGGCTAACCAAAACAAGTCTTATGAGATAACCATGGTCAAGAGGGAAGTCACCCTGCACTTCATCCAAGACGGGAACATTAGAACCCAGGAAAAGGAGGGGACTTGCCCCAAGTCCCACTTTGTGAAGCCGGGGCAAATCTTTCTTCGAACCCAGGCTTAGCGCCCCCTGGCGGGCCGGGGACTCCCCGAGGCGAATGCGCTCTCTCAGGACGCAAGCTGAGGGTGACCCAGAGGCTCGCGTTGCAGTCCTAGACCTAATGGGTAGGGCAAGAATAATGTCAGGACCCAGAGGCCCAGGCCCAACGGTGCTCCTTCAGCAACGCGCCGCAGTGGCGGAAGAAGTCTAGGGCCGCTGGAGCTGCTAGGAAGAGCAGAGAGTTGCTGGAGGCCTGGGTCCCTGTTTGCTGTGCGATTTGGGTCACCCCTCCTCTCACTAGAAGAGTTGAGCTGGACACTGACAGCCTGCTGTAAGTCCTTGAGCTTCCTTCTGTGACCAGCCCTTCCCATTCGGGAATTCTGGGCGCCATCGGCGACATCACACTTAAGGAGGGAACAAAGAGACAATGACTGGGGTTTTGGGGTCCCCCATCCGAGATCCTGCAGATACTTTTCTGGTTTGGGGAAGTGTGCAAACTTCCAATAGGGAGGGAAAGATTTGGATACAGAAGAGGTGGGAGGAGGAGTCGGACTACATCAAAAATCCTGCTGAGACCCCAGCCTGGACTCGCATGTGCCAAGCACTTCGAACCAGGGGGACTCTGGAGGGGGGGGGTGTGAGGGAAGCAATTCAAGGTTTTCTACTAGGTTCCTCTCGATTCTGCCAGACGGCCCCAGAAAACTATGACGTCTCAAATCCGTGTGTGTGTGTGCGCGCGCGCGTTTCTGCGCATGTACAAAGCACATTCATACATGTGTACAGGGTACACAGGTATGCATAATAGTGGATACAAGCAGAGAGACGATCAGACGAAGATCAGGAAGCTGGAGTCCAGTTCTTTATTTTTATAAAAGGAAAAACTAAGGCTGGGGTGGTTGAGGGCTTGCCCAAGCTCACAGAGACAGATGAGAACCTCTCTTTCCTGTTCCAGCGACCTCCCCACCGGCACCTCCCCCAAGTCTGGCACCTCCTTCTTCAGACTCTGCGGACCCTTTAGGGAGGAATCCCTTTGTCTTTGCTCCTCCAGAGGAGAGAGGGGCTGTGTATATTCGGGGAGAACGCCAGGTGTTGGTAAATTTGGGAGAAGCGGGGAAGAGAGTTAATGAGGTGAGAATGATGAGAGGGGCCAAGCCTCAGAAAGCAGCTCCTCAAGCTGCCAGCGGGCTGGGTAGCGGCTCCTCGGCGACCCTAGCTCGCCGCCTGGCGGTCCGAGGCAACCTCTTGCAGGCCTGGCGCTAAAGAGCTCTGGCGGTGCCTAATCCGGACCACGGCACTGACGTGGGATGTCCGAAGTGGCAGTTCAGACTCTGCAGATAGATCCATTGGTGTGTAAAGAGCATCCATCACCATTCCAGTTTTCCAGCTTCCCTTTCCCACACTGAAAAGTAGGTGCCCAGAGGAGGCAAGTCTTCTGTTTTCTCTTTGACCTGACCTCGTGGGTTAGCACGAGCCCAGCACCAACCGGACGCTCGCTAAGCCCGTTTCTCATCTCTGGGTTTCCTTGTCTGAGATGGAGGGGTGACAATACCTATCACAGGACTGGGAGGATCAAAGGCGGCCACACTAGGAGACTTCTTTGCAAAGAGGAGGCTTGGGATGAGCCATAGAATCACCAAGACTGCGATAACTAGTAATCAGTGTCGTGGATTCTAATAGGAGCCCATATCCTTTCCCGGATCAACTGCCTGGACCCGGGACCCTCGTTACTCTTCCCGTGGTCGCTTTGTCAGTTTGTCTGTGTGTCTCGGGCGGGTGTCTCGTTCGCCGCCCGAGGCTTGCGGTCCTCTGCTGGCTTTCTTCTGGGTCTTCCCCGGCACCTCCGTACTGTGGCACTCTGTCCTTGGGGTGTACAGCTCTGATCAGCCCTGGGCGACACGCCCTCGGCCGCGCTCCGTTCTCACCTAATCCGAGCCTGACGCCGGCGGGTCTCGGCGGTGCGGGGCGGGAGCGGACGCCTGCCTCGCTCAGTCTCCCGGGACCGACCCCTCCTTTGTAATTTGAATAAAACGCCTCCCAGCCCGCGCACCGCCTTAACCCGCCGCCCCACTCTTTCTGACTGCAGGCGGTGTGCGCGCAGGACCGGCGGTGGTGGCTTGCAGGAGGCGGTCTTCGGCGCGGTTCCTACACGGTGCGACCCCCGGGAGCGCCGGGCGCGCGCGACGATGAGGGCTCGGCCGCAGGTCTGCGAGGCTCTGCTCTTCGCCCTGGCGCTCCACACTGGTGTGTGCTATGGCATCAAGTGGCTGTAAGTAGGACCCCACTTTTACTCCCAAGGGTCACGGGGCGAGCGGCCGGAGAGGTTGGGTGAGAGCACCAAAATCTGCGAGGCCAAGTTGGCTTGAGCGTCCGGAACCAGGCACTCTTAAGCCTGGGCCACCTCCTCTGAGAAATGCTGTTCTTACCCTCTGCAGGCTTGTGAAGTGGATGAGGGGATTTTTCTCATCCAGGCTAGGGTTGTGTAAAGGCCAGAGAGGGACTTCAGAAACATTCTTTCCAAGTGGCACAACCCAGAGGGTCTGCTCAGTGCAGGACACAAGGGGCAACTCAGGATCCTGGTCTGTCAGCCTCCTGAAGGTCTGCAAAGACAGTTTTGACCCCCACCACCTGAGCGACCTTGGGGGAAGTGTCACTGTAGCACGGCCTCCTGGGGCCTCAGTCAGCCAGAAGGATAGCTAGGACTGACTTGCCCTGATCAGATAGGAGGCTCCCCAGAGGGCTCCTGAACTACCAGAGACTGTGTGCGCACGTGCAGGGTGTCCTGTAGGGATAAATGGTCGCTGGGGGCAATTTCCTCCCTGGTTTCCCCATGCAGTGCCTGCTTCTCCTGTGGTGGCTGCTGGAAGCGGTGTGGAGGGAGTGGGTTGAGGGGGAAAGCAGCCCCTTCCTGAAGGAGCTGCCCCTGGGCTGGGAAAGATAAGCCCCGACTGTAAATAACTTTCCAAGTGCTCTAGGAGTGGGGGCTCGGAGGAGGGCGGCCTGGTTGGGTCACCCTTGTGGGTTACAGAGATTTTCCACAGCTTGCCACTCACAGCTGCAGAAACGGGGAAGCTCGGCAGGTAGATGGTGAGGAGGAGACTCAAAGTGTACAACGTCAGAGTGGGATAGTCTAGAACGGACCCTAAGTTTCTCTTTGGGTCGAGTGTAGGGAGTCTGCAGATAAAACAAGGGATAGATTGTGGGCACTGAAGAGGGGGTCGGGAAGAGAGGATGGTGCACCACCCTGGACCTCTGGAAAGCAGTCTTGAGGTCACTGGTCCAGCCCTTTCAGGTGCTGAGTTATTGATTAAATAATTCAAGAGGGGAATCCCATCTTCATGTGCTTATGGTTTACTAGAAAGGTGGTCTGCCGTGGGCGGGCGCCTCCCACCTCCTCCTGCTGCTCTTAGGCCCTCTCACCCATTCTTGCACCAGGCAGGACACAAATCAGGGAGAGAAGCCCCTCCCACCATCCCCACTGTTTTACAGAGCAGGAGGGGAGGGAGAGTAGGAAGGGGTTTGCTGAGAGGTGCAAGGGCCTTCATGGCTGAGAAGCAGGCTTGGGTGACTCGTTTTGCTCATAGAGTCCTGGGGACACTGCTCTTGTCCCTCTTTACCTGTCCTACAAAGGGAATACTGAGGTTCTAGGTTGCATGTGACTCACTCAGTCCCAAGCTGGCACGTGCTGGGTGGGGTAGGTTGCTGGCTGAGAGCAACACCCAGCTCAGCTCCACCCCATAGTCTAAGCCATGACACAAATGGGCACAGCTCAGTGTCTGCCTTCAAGACATTCCGCCAGGGAGGACTTAATGGGCAGCGATGGAATGCGAAGCAGGTGTCCCAACCCCTGACCCTTCTTGCGGGGAGCAGGGGCCACGGTGCCTTGCAAGCAGTGTCCTACTACAGCTCTGAGAGCTGTAGGCCTCTATCTGATTTGTTAACACTCCTTGTGATAGGTGACAGTCTTATCATTGCTGGTTCACAATAAGGAAGTTAAGGTACAGAGAGGCTAAGTAACTGCCACAAGGTCACATGCTGGTTCTCTGTGACTGTGAGATCAGAACCGAAGCAGAGGGCTCCAGAGGCTAAATCTTGATAATGGTTGAACTATTGCTGGAGCTGGAAGATAGAGAAGGACTTGGGAGGAGAAGTGGAGCTTAACAGGAGTAGAAGTGATGGCACAGGCCAGTAATCTCAGCTACTGGAGAGGCTGAGTGAGGCAGGAGGATCACAGGCTCAGCCTCTACCTGGGTTACAGATGAGCTCATAGCCAGCCTGAGCAATGGAGTGAGACTCTGTCTTAAAATAATAATAATAATAATAATGATAATGATAATGCAATAAGGGCCTGTGAGGCCCCGGGTCCAATGACCAGCCCTCAAAGCCCTGCCCTTAGGGAAATGGTGGGGATGGGCATAGATACTTGTGTGCTGCCTGCCGTTTTCAACACACACATAGTTGGTTTCAGTCTCCTAACCTGTGCTGTGTGTTCTGTTTCCCCGAGCAGAGGAGAGGAAGACCTTGGAGGTTCTTAAACAGAGTTCCATAGCCAATGAGGAGCAGAGCCGAGCTTTTGAGTTAGGCTGTTGGTAGAAGGAAGTCCCAGGACAGTGTGCAGTGGGTGGGGACTCCTCAGGGCCAGCTGTCCTGGGGCAGTCCTTGGAAAGTGACCTGGAGATGAAAGGGACATCTGACACAGGAACTGAAACCAGATGTGACTTGGTGACCCGAGGTGCCCACCTGGTGGGCTTCTGGGACAGACAACCTAAACAGGTGGGATGGGGGACTGGGGAGCAGGGTCAGAACCTGACTGCCTGGAGATACACGAACAGCCTTGAGGGCCTTACCTCCAAAGCCAGAGGTGGGGGGAATCAAGATGAGTCAAGGGAGAGGGTGGGGGAGGGGGAGCAGGTGTGAGCCTTTTGCCCCCTCTGGTGGAGGAGGGGAGAAGAAAGACCCTGGGCCAGCTAGGGAGCCCTGAGAGGCATCCTCTCAGAGCAGCTGGCTGCAGGGAGCCTGCTACTCAGCAAGGGCGGGGCCTCTCTAGGGAGTCTTAGAAGGCTCTGGAAGGAGTGAAGTGGGCCAGAAAGAGTACCAGCCCGGGAATCTGTGCTCAGCTTGAGCCGGCATCTTCTGCCTGGCAGACCTTGGGCAAGACTTCAGCTTCTCTGTAGCTCAGCCTCTCAGCTCCAACATGGGCTGGAAAGAGTCCTAGCCTGGGGTCTGCGAGGTCTAGCTGCTAGCTGGTCTCTGCTTCTGATTGGCTGCACGCGGAAGTGGGCAAATCCTGCTCTCCTTCCAAAGGGGTTGACTGTACATGGAAACTCCTTTCCACTGTTTGGCTAGCAAGTGTCTGAGCAAGGCAACCGGTTAGAGCTCTCCTTAAGGGTGATCCTGTGAGTATGGGGCCAGGCAGGGACCTCTGAGGTCTAGGCAGTGCCTGCTAGGTAGGATTGGATTTCTAGCTTATAGGCATCCGGCTCTTCATCCAATGCCTCCAATGCCATTGACCCATCTGTGAAATGTAGGAAAGGAGCTGGCCTTGTTCATCGAGAGTCATCCTGAAGAACTCTGTATTATTATTGTTGTTGTTGTTATTATTATTAATTTATTTTTTTACATTCCAATCCCAGTTCCTCCTCCCTCCACTCTTCCTATTCCTCCCACTTCCTTCCCACCTCATCTCCCATCTGTTCCTCAGAGAGGATAAGGCCTCCCCTAAGAAGTCTACTATGTCTGTTCCATCATCTCCTTGAGGCAGGACCAAGGCACCCCCACCTTTGCCTAGGCTGAGCAAGGTGTCTCTCCATATAGAATGGGCTCTGCAAAGTCAGTTTGTGCATTAGAGTTAGATCTTGGACCCACTGCCAGTGACCTCATATACTGTCCCAATGGCACCACTGTCACCTATGTTAAGGGAGTCTAGTTTGGTCTTATGCAGGTTCCCCATTTGTCAGACCAGAGTCAGGGATCTCTCACTACCTCGGGTCAGCTGATTCTGTGCATTTCCCCGTCATGGTCTTGACTCCTTTGTTCATATTTTCACTCCTCCCTCACTTTGATTGTACTCCAGGAGCTCTGCCCAATGAGCCCTGGTTCTTAAACCTAGCACAGCACTGAGAAGTTCCAACTTGTCACTAGGGAAAAGCTCCATACAGCCATCCCTGGGGGCAGATAGAAGCACAGAGAAGGGTTGAATTTGCCTAGTTGGCCTAGACATTTTTCTTGCTTCATAGGTAACAGTCTGAGATGTGGCCCAGGACAGCCCAAAGCCTGGTGACAGGTGGGGTAAACAGGTTTAGGGAATAGGCTCTCCCACCTTCCTGGGGTCAGCAGGGTCCACAGAAACATAACCAAAGAACCACCTTCCCTGGCTAGCTTTGGGGACCCTGAGGCAGGCCAAATCCATGACCAAGGTTTCCTAATTTCCTGAGTGAAGTTTTTGATGCCAGGCTCAATCTACTGCCAGGCCAACTCTGGGTGTGCTTCTGAGGTCTTTGGAGTCTAGTTCTGCCCAAGATAACCCTGAACAAATAGTCTGGTTTCACTTAGCAATGTTGTCAAGCAGACTGCAGAATGGCAGCAAGAGGCCTTGGCCCAGGGCTCTCAAGATTGTAAAGTGGCCTCACCTGAGTCAGGTACCACAGGACTGCCTGGACACAGGGCTACTGGCAACCCCAGGAAGACCCCTTAATGACTGACTCCAGGAGAGAAACCCCATGGTGTGAGGAGGTAGTGACCCCTCAGGGTGGGAGTACCAACAGGCCTGGAGATAGGCTCAGTGGATAGGGGGTGGAAGTCAGGCTTGCGAGAAGTGGAAGGAACTTCCTGGATGTATCACTGGAAAATGCCCTCACCCAAAGAACTATGAGCATTGAATACTATGAACAGGGAAACTGAGGCTGGGCACTGGCAGTGATTTGCCCAGGTCACATGATTAATTAGTAGCCTAACCAGAGCTTGAACCCAGAGAACCCCAACTCCTGAATGAGAGAAGTCCCTCCCAACCCATGGCATAGACTCCCCAGTGAACTCTCTGTTCCCTCTTGGTCCCCCCCCCCCTCCTGTATCCTCTCCCCCACATCCTCACTTCAGATACACTGAAATGTTTCCAATTAGGGCTATTCTGGACCAGACCAGCCTGTGAGCTGTCCACGGTGGCTCCCCCGCCTCTGCCTTAGTCCTGATTGCCTCCCCAAGGGGGGCTCACTTACCCAGGTCATTACCGCTAATCAGCGGATTCCTGGGAAGCCCTTGCAATGCTTGGGGGTGGGGCAGTAGGTGTATTGCTGTGCCAGCTGCTCCTGAGGGTCCCATGGATGCCCCAGTCTCTCTGTCCCCAACAGTGCACTCTGCTGGCCCTACTTGCAGGAGCCTGGGAAGAGGTTCAAGTATCCTGCTGAGGTAGCCCGCTGGGAGGTACCCTCTTAGATAGAATTTAGCCTGAGGCTGGGTAGGCAAATGCTTGGGGCCTTCAGGGAGAGGAAGGGGACAGTGGCTAGGGAAGCAGAGCCCCCTAGGTTTCCCCACCAGTGAGCTCCAGGTACTGGGGAGCACTGGGCGCTGTGCCTGAGAGTAGCTACAGCCCTCAGGAGCTGCCTGCACTGTGCAGCAGGAAGGATTCCACCAGCACCCCACTTATTGGCTAGCACCCTCCTTTTAGGTGAGCAGACACCCAGGGTATATGTCACCATGCCTGACATGAATACATTATCTTTCTTAAGCCTCCCCACTGTCTTTTGAAGTGGAAATCATCATTGCAGCAGCTGAGGGCCACAAGGCCCAGAGAGGTTAGGTGATTTCCCTAAGTCACACAGCAATGTCTCAAGCTTGTGCCTTTCCCTAGGCCAGCCTAGGAGCTGGGACTTCTGGGGCCTCTCTGCCTCATCAATGATGGGTTTGTCTAGCCCTTAGGCCAGGTGCTCCGGGAGGAAAGGGTCTGTACCATGCTCATAGCCAAAGGAGGCTGGGAAGTTTTGGCACTCATTCGCTATTTCTTCAATGTGTAGAAGTTCTTCTTTTCACTTGGGTACAAGAAGGAAAAGGCATTCCTGTCATCAGGGCAACCTTGGGCAAAGGCATGGTGGTAGGAAGGTCCCAGTATCACCCTATCCCATCCAGGGATATGCAGTGTACAACTCTAAAACCCAGAGGGGACCAGTGATCATTGAGTGTCCGGGTTAGATATTGAATTTTCTAAATTCTGAAGCACCATAAAGTTCAGTGTCCTTGAATTGTTGAATAGCAATCCTTTGCATGGTTGTGGACTTTACAATGGTGATAAATGGCTGTAGAATTAAATGCAGCAATGGTGTAAAGCTCTTAACTCATGGTGTGCAATAGCTTGAGGGCCTAATTAATACCATGTGTAATTATTATGAGGCTGCAGCGGTTAGCCCTGGTTCTGGCTCATAACTACCAGCGCCGAATGACTGAAAGAAGCAATAGTAATTCCTGAGCAGGACTGAGACAGTGGCTGGAAGCGCTTTGCAGACAATTACACAATGCAGACAGGATAAGGGATGTGATTTTGTACTAGAATTAGGGCATAAGGTCCGGAGAGAGACAGTGCCATGCTCCAGATTGCAGGTGGGTAGGCTACGGCAGGCCAACAATCGCTCCGCCACGTGGCCCTTTGCCTTTTGATTTCCTGGCTCCTTGCAAAAGTGACTTGGAGTCTGTTGAGGGAGGGCTGGCTTGCAGATCATATGCCCCTCACACCCTGTCTTTCTTCCGTTTGGTGGTTTTTGGGGTATGCAGGGCACTGTCCAAGACACCAGCAGCCCTGGCACTCAACCAGACTCAACACTGCAAACAGCTGGAGGGCCTGGTGTCTGCGCAGGTGCAGCTCTGCCGCAGCAACCTGGAACTCATGCGTACCATCGTGCATGCAGCACGTGAGGCCATGAAGGCCTGCCGCAGGGCCTTCGCCGACATGCGCTGGAATTGCTCCTCCATCGAGCTCGCCCCCAATTACCTGCTTGACCTGGAGAGAGGTAGGGGCTGTGGGGAGCTGCACTGCTGTGGTGGGAGGGTCCAGGCAGAAGCTTCGTGTGTTTGGATAGGTGCGTGGATTCATGGGTGGATGGATGAGTGAAGAGATGGATGGTTACACAGATGGATAAGCCGTGGCTGGGTGGACGCTTGAGCGAATGAGTCATTCATAGATATGGGTTTCAGGCACGAACTGGGGAATGAATAAATATTAGTGAGTGAATATATCAGCACATACATTGGCCCGAGTAACACTTCAGGACACATATGTGCTATAATGCACGAATGAAGGAAGGGCGTTGCCATAGAGGGCACCAAGGTGCCCTGATGTACTGAAAGCCACATTAATATAATGAGACTGGTGTGTAGCCCGCCCGTGGCAGGTGGGCCTAGGCAAACCAGGTTGGGAGGAACTGCTTAATGCACAAAGTATTCGGGGCAGCAGATAGCTCCGAAGCAGGCTTCCCAGAGGTGGTGTGGGAACCTGAGTGCACACGGGCTAATGCCCCTCACAGGCACTTTGTCAAGCATCACTGGGTCTCAGCCATGGCAGCTCTCCCTCCCTGCTGAGATGCCTGAATGCCAGGCAAGCCTTCCCAGGTGGGCTCTGCAGTTAAGGAAACCGAGGCTCTATAGGAGCGGTGACTGCTAGGTAAGAGACAGGGCCAGGATTCAGATGTGGGGCCAGGGCGGCCTGGAAACGAGAGGGAGCTCACTGACTCTGTGCTCATTTCCTGGGGTTCTGTCGCAGCGTCCTTGTCCTGTATACTGGCTGGCTTTAAACAATGAAAATGTACTGCCTCCCAGTGTGTGTAGCGACCAGACTGTAATCCCAGTCCTTGAGAGGCGGTGGCAGTAAGACAGCTCCAAGGCAGCCTGGGCTGTGTATTGTCTCATTGTTCCAGAAGCTGCAAGTCTGTGGATGAGTTGTCAGCAGGGCCATAATATCTCCCTGGGTCCCTGCCCTACAGCTGTGTCACACAACCCGTGTGTCATATGGTGCTCTCCCTCCATTTGTGCCTGTGTCTCCTGCTCTAGAGATGCATGGCTAGTATGGCCTCATCTTAGTGAGAGCCTATGTGCAAAGACCAAGTTTCTAAATTGGCTCTTACTCCTGAGTTCCTACAAGGGCTCAGAGGGCTGAGGTCTTTGTGAGGGGAATAATAAGGGTGTGTTGTGGGCTGGGAGAAGCAGAGGGGCCTTTGCAGTCTGTCTCCTGCACTGCTCTGGTGACGGCTGGGTCCCTCCGTGTTGCTCCACCAGTGGGTGGAGTTAAGATGGCCTCAGGCCTGGGTCTGACCTCTTCCTGACCTCTGGCCTGCTGACCCTCACCTCTGCCACAGGTACCCGGGAGTCAGCCTTCGTGTATGCCCTGTCGGCCGCCACCATCAGCCACACCATCGCCCGGGCCTGCACCTCTGGCGACCTGCCCGGCTGCTCCTGCGGCCCTGTCCCAGGTGAGCCACCCGGGCCCGGGAACCGCTGGGGAGGATGTGCGGACAACCTCAGCTACGGGCTCCTCATGGGGGCCAAGTTTTCCGATGCTCCTATGAAGGTGAAAAAAACAGGATCCCAGGCCAATAAACTGATGCGGCTACACAACAGTGAAGTGGGGAGACAGGTAACCACCCCCCACCCGCCCCAGAGGGTGTGCCTGGGCCACTGGCTGGAGAAGGGCCCATGGTGGGCCCCATGAGGGTGTGGGAGAGGGGATGGGCTGGGACCCCGCTGCTCCTCCCTCTCTAGAGCTTGGGCTCACCTGCTCCTTCTCCTCTAGACAATGGACTAGGAGCCCAGAGCTCAGAGTTCTGCCCTTGGCTCTGGCCCTGAACTTCCCGAGTGGTGACTTACTTCCTCTTTGGCCTCATTCCTCCCCATCTATAAAGTGGCGACAGGGTGGGCTTCTGCAAGTTCCTCAGCCTTCCTTCAGGACAGGGAGGGACTGGGCCACAGGCTTTATACCATACCACCCCTCTGTAGCGGGGAGGGGGGATTCCACACTGCCTTGAGAGCATGGCTCCCTAGTATCGCTTCCAGTGTCTACCTATTTCTCACTTACTGCACAAAAGGCTGTGTGTGAGTGCGTGCGTGCGTGCGTGCGTGTGTGTGTGTGTGTGTGTGTGTGTGTGTTAGGTGAAATGAAAACTTGGGGGAGTTGGTTCTCTCCTGCTGGGTTCTAGGGATCCAACTTATATTGTCCAGGCCACAGCAATGACCTTTACTTCTGAAAGCTCTTGCACCAATCCATGGTGTGAACATTTGCTCCGTGCTTTACTCTTTCCCTCCTGGGATCCCAGAACAACTCCCAGAAGGTTCTATTGTTCCTTTTCTGCTGATAGGGAAAAGGCCCCAGAAAGTATCCTGTACAGTAGGAATCTCTCACATATTTAGCCCTTGGTGACTCAGCCAGGAGCACATGGGCTCAGGAAGCTGAATGCGTATAACCATACATCTTCACCTGTCACTGGTGTCTCTCATGTCAGGACTCCTGAACATCCGGGCCATCCTTGGACAGTCTGGGAAAACTGAGGCCAAACCACACTGTGGGTCTACTTCAGAGCCTAGCGGGGGGCTCCTGCCTCCCAGCCCTGGGGCTTGTCCAATTGTAGGAACCCAGAGAGCTTTTTCCTAGCCCCACTATACTCTGTGGCAACCGCAGCCACCAACTGGGGTACACTCCCCCTGAACAGTGCAAGAGGATACTTGGTTTTCATCTCAGCACACCTCAGGTCTGTCTATTCTAGAAGCCAATTGCAAAAGGTGAATGCTGTTCCTGGTAGTCTGGGCTGTGTGAGGATTAGATGACACCAGGGCTAGGCAGTTTAGCACTCACCCATGAATGTCCACCCCTTCCCTGACATGACTCAAGGAACTGAGCTTCAGGGCTCTGTCCCTGGTGCCTGTGGCCCTGTGTGTGGCCCTGTGTGTCTCCTTCCTCTCCCTCCTAGGCTTCCAGCAAGTTCCAGACTTTACACCTAGTATGTTTCCTCAGCCCCCATTTCCTGTTACAATGATAGGAACGATCACTGACACTTGGCTTAGCTCCCTGCTAACTCACTGACTGAGGGATCGGGGCAAGACTAAGCCAATCCTAGCCTCAGTTTCCCCAGCCAGGTGACGAAGGGTATGAGTCCAGGTTACCCACGACCCTTGCTGGACAAGCGAGAGAGCAGTGTCCTGTGAGCAGAAGAGGGGTTTGAAGAGCCGAATACAAAGATTCTTAGAAGGTGTCTGACCTCTGACCCTCAGGGACCAACAGGAAACTGAGACCCAGAGAAGACTGTGAAAAGAGTCATTTCTCAGACCAGGGCTGGGTCCTGCCTAAGGCCCTGGCTCAAGGGTTTCCAGTTTCCCCCACAGCTCTGATTTAAACTGCATGTTCAGAGCCAATATTGATTTAAACTGTTGTAACTCACACACCCCTTTGGTACAGCTCATTTAACCCTTACAACACTCTACCAGGTAGCAGCAGCATGCCAGCTTCAGACTTCAGATCTGAGGCCCTGAGTGGTGACAGAGGGTCACCTGGCAGCCAGGGGTGGATCCGGAAGGAGGTGCCCCCAAGCCCTCATCCTGTCTCCTTCCTGTCTCCCCCATCCCTCCCCAGCTGCCTTCCTTCTTGCTCTCCCTTTTCTTGTTGCTTTTCTGGCAAGCCTCTAGTGAGTCCTGGTTTTATGGGAGGGAGAAGGCATGGGACAACTGAAAGTCACAGCTTTTGGAGTCACTGTCAGATGCAGGTTCAAATCCCAGCCCCACAACTTTCGAACTGCAAACTTGGGTGTCAGACTTAGCATGTTAGAACCTTCCTGTTTAGGACAGGGGAAAGAGTGGGTCTCACAGATGGGCTATGGTGGCTGTATTTGCACAGTGTGTATCTGAGAAGTGGCATCTGCAAATGCCCGTCTTCCTGCCTGCCCCATAGCTGCCCTGGAGTGGAAGTATGGACCCCCCCCAGCACCTCCTAGCTTTAGAGCCAAATGCTCCATCCCTTGAGGATCCAGTGGCACATGAATTCCCAAGAACATCGAGGCATGGAGTGGGGGGACCAGAGCCCTGACAGGCCAGGGAGGGGTTCTGACCACCCGCCGACACCCTGCCTGTCCTGTCTGCAGGCTCTACGTGCCTCCCTCGAAACGAAGTGTAAGTGCCATGGGGTGTCTGGCTCCTGCTCCATCCGCACCTGTTGGAAGGGGCTGCAAGAGCTCCGGGATGTGGCTGCTGACCTCAAGACCCGCTACCTTTCGGCCACAAAAGTGGTGCACCGGCCTATGGGCACCCGCAAGCACTTGGTGCCCAAGGACCTGGATATCCGGCCTGTAAAGGACTCAGAACTAGTATATCTGCAGAGCTCCCCTGACTTCTGTATGAAGAACGAGAAGGTGGGATCCCATGGGACCCAAGACAGGTAAGTGCCATGCCACCCACACAAATGCTGCACTCGGGCTGGGCCAGGCACAGCGGTGACTCAACTGGTGTTTGGAGAGTGGCATCCTTGCCCAGTGTGGGGAGGAGGTTCCAGGGATACTCAAGGTGTCTCTGGGGACAGAGGCTGACAGCCCCACCTTTTCCCTCGATGGGAAGTAACAGTGGCAGTACTGTAAGACAGGGACTAGGGAGGGCTGCCCAACACGAAACAGAAGCTCAGTAAATGTCACACGAACAGAAGAATAAATGCCCGCCCCGTTCATTGGACAAAGGAGGAACTGAGAGGCATGAGGAGAAGTGAAGGCCACAGCATCCAACCCAAGGCACCCAGGAAGTACCCAGAGCAGAGCGAATGAGCTTTGTAGAGAGGATACTCCTTTATCCCCTGATAAGTGCTCCTCCCAGGCTCTAGTCCTCCCAGTCCCCTGGGGACGACCTGGGTTGGTTCCAGCCCTAGCTCTGGATAGGGAGACAGGGAAGACAAGGAAGACCTGCAGTGTACCATGAGGTTAAGCAGCTAGGTGACTGGATGCGCAAAGATGGTTCATGAAAACCCAGGGAAGCAAGTTCTGTGATCACATGCACCAGGGAAGCTCTCTGGCCATCCCCAAGGCCCGAGGGAGCCTCAGCTAAGGATTTGATTAAACGGAGTTTCCCAGAGATACACAGCCGGGGAACTCTTTTATTAAGGAGCCCCTCATAGCATTCCACGAGGCTGGTGCTCACAAGGTTAGGGAAATATGGAGCAGAGAGCGGGTGTCTGGGAACGTGTCTGGCACATAGTTGGTGCCCAGCCAGCATCTGCTTCCTCCGCAGCCCACGGCCCTGCCTGGGAGAGGGGAGGGCTGGTTTGGGGCTCCATCCCCACAGGCCAAAGCTCTGTGAGGAAGAGGCCCAGGCTCCCATCTGGAGGCCAGATTGAGGGGGTTGGCAGAGTGGAGATGGAGTGGGTCAGGCAAAGGAGACAGGAAGGAGCATGAGTCTGCTTTAAAGCAGCAGGGTGAGTGTAAGCGGCTGAGAAGCAGGGGTGGTTCTGTAACACAGAGGGACTGGGCACAGGGCCCTAGAGGATCATGGGATGAGCAGAGAGTTGCCTTGCATTAGCGGAGGACTGCCATAGGCTGTGGGTCAGTACCCTGCCTGGTTCCTCAGTCCCCTACTGCTCTGTCCCCAACTGTATCCCACAGACACAGGCCCCTACTGCTCTGTCCCCAACTGTATCCCACAGACACAGTCCCCTACTGCTCTGTCCCCAACTGTATCCCACAGACACAGTCCCCTACTGCTCTGTCCCCAACTGTACCCCACAGACACAGTCCCCTACTGCTCTGTCCCCAACTGTATCCCACAGACACAGTCCCCTACTGCTCTGTCCCCAACTGTATCCCACAGACACAGTCCCCTACTGCTCTGTCTCCAACTGTATCCCACAGACACAGTCCCTTTCCAGCCCTGGCCCAGTGGACAGTGCACCCAAATAGCACCTTCTTGACTAGGCAGGGAAATGGCAGCAGAAGGCTTTGCTTTCACTGAGGCTGCCCTGGCTCCTCACCTTCTGCCATGACGTAGGGGAGAAGGGTGAGCAGTGGCCTTGGTGTCAGTGTTGAGAAAGAGACGGTTTGCTTGTCACTCATTCCAGGGAGAGCAACCGCTGCTGTGCACTGCAGCTGCTTCAGAAGCAGAAGGGCATGGAATGCCTCTGCGGAGATGAGTCAGTCACTGCAGCCTCCCTGGACACCTGCAGGCCCACATTCAGTGGACAAAGTGACCAGGCCCACCGTGCTTCCTGGGATGTTTTTAGTGTTCCAGAATGTATCCTGGGCTTTTTTATTGTAAAAACGACTCTCACCTCCATTACAGCATAATTAAAGATTAACTTTGAAGGCAGGGGCCTAGGCAGGAGGCTCAGTTGGTAGGTAAGGCACCTGCTTTGTGAGAATCAGCCAGGTGTGGTGGCGCACGTCTGTAATCCCAGCGCTCGGGGGGGCAGAGGCAGGCGGATCTCTGTGAGCCCCAGGCCAGCCTGGTTCTCAGAGTGAGTTCCAGGGCAGCCAGGGCTGTTACACAGAGAAACCCTGTCTTGAACCCCACCCCCCACCCAAATGAGGATCTGAGTTCAGATCCCTACCACCCACGTGATGGCATAAATCTATAGCCCTAGCAGTGAAGTGGAGGCAGGAAGAGAAACGTGCCCCGGAATTCACTGGCCAGGCTTGTCAAGTAGTTTCCTGAGCTCTGGGTTCAGTGAGGGACTTTTCCTCGATAGACAGACAGATAGATAGATAGCTAGATAGATAGATAGATAGATAGACAGACAGACAGACAGATAGATAGATGATAGATAGATAGATACACGATAGACACAAAGACAGAGTAAGACATTCAATGTGGGCCTCTGCCTCCAAATAAACGCATGCACACATTTGTGCACATGGACCATTTCCACACCTATACTATACACACACATTCTTAAAGGATTAAATGTGAAGTTGGGGTTAGTAGACATTGATTTGAGGGTTCCTCTGGGATTTAGAGGAAGAAAAAAAAAAGGAAATCAGACAACTTAGGAAATAAAATAGCGCCAACAATTCCATCACGGCGTATTGTAAGCACAGGGAAGTTAGGGGAGAGGAAAGCCCTAAATACTGATCCCCCCTTCTTGAAGAGTTGGGCCAGCTGTAATGACGAGGCTGCGTGGCAGGGAGAGGCAGGTGCTGGTGGTGATGGCACTCACTGGTCTCTTGTTCCCACCCCCAGGCAGTGCAACAAGACCTCCAACGGCAGTGACAGCTGCGACCTCATGTGCTGTGGGCGCGGCTACAACCCCTACACAGACCGCGTGGTGGAGCGATGCCACTGCAAGTACCATTGGTGCTGCTACGTCACCTGCCGCAGGTGTGAACGCACAGTGGAGCGCTATGTCTGCAAGTGAGGCCATGTGCTCCACCCCTGTGGAGGGGTGCTGCTCCCCTGATAACCCGCCCACGGGCCTGAGACCTTGGTGGACTTCCCTGCAGATCCCAGATGCCAGGCGTGGGAGGCGGCTTGTGCTGTGATTCCACTTGGAAGCCACCGGGAACAGGAGGCCTGGTCGCCCTGGGAGGGCCGGGGCATCAAAGGAAACTGATAGGATTAAAAATAACCTGGCAGCCTGGGGCCTGAGTGCCCACATGTTGCCTTCCAGGCTGCTCCAAGAAGCCAGGGCAGGGATGGGTAAGACTGTGTGTATTTGACCTTTCAAGGCCAGAAAGACCAGCCTTCCAGAATGTTCTTTGGGACCCTGTGCCCACCACATGGAACCACTAACTTGGGTTGTAAATTTTTATTTTCCTTCCCCCCTCCTTTGGGATGTGGGAGCTACAGAAATATTTATAAAATATAGCTTTTTCTTTGGGGTGGCTCACTTCAACTCCTCTTTATATATTATATATAAAATATAAATATAATGATTATATTTTAAACAACTGTGTGAAATAAATGCTGAGCAAGCCCCAGCCTACCCCCCAAATCTCTAGCCTTCATATGAACCCAGCAGATGCTGGTCTGGCAGGAGGACTCTTCAGTTTCTAGACAAGGCGGCCTCCCATTGATGTCCCAACCCCACCCAGTCCTCTGACCTGGTCCTGGCCTGTTTCCCTGTATGTGATCTGTTGGTCAAGAGTGAGGACAGACGTCTTGAAACATAAACCCAGTTGGCAGTATATTTATTCCTCAGGGACATTCTTACTGCCACAGCACAGCCGTTGGGTATGCTTTCAGACCCATTAAGCTGGCTGCAAGAAAAGGTCCCAAGAAGCTGGGACCTTAGGGAGACAACCCTGGTGGGTTTTCAGTGGAGCCCTGGGTGGTGGGACTGACCCATGCTGTGACCCTATCTGTGAATCTGGGCTGATGGTGACTAAGGTTGGAAGTTGGGAAAGACCCAGGCTCAGAGCTCAAGCCTGGACCAGGCTTATGGCAGATGATGTGCTAAGATGCAGGGACCAGCAGGCCCTCTTCTTTTTCTCATTTTGGGTGTGGCTCCAGAAAGAACTGTCTGGGTTTGGTTCGAGTGTGGGGAAGGATGGAAGGCCAGCAGTAAGACGCAGTTGGGGAGAGGGTTGGGATCAGATTTGGTCATGGGTGTAGATGGAGGTGCAGGTTGGACTCCCATGTGGAAATGAGCAGACACTGGGGTCTGGGGTTCTGGGGGAGGCCAGGCTGCAGAGACACCTTTGTCATTACAGCTAAGTGGGTGTTCTAGCAAAGTCAAGAGGATCTGGGCCTATGATGTCTGTCTATAGGCTGGAGGTGGAGATTAAAAGGGGTGAAGGAGGGAGGGACAGCCAGGGAGGAGACAAAAGCTGGAAGGACATGACCATCACCCTCTGAGCTTTAACTTCCCGTCATTTAAAAAAATATTAACAATGGAAATAAAAATACACCTAAGCTGAAGCTTCTAGAAGAATCGCTTGTTCTTGCCTGTCTTTTGTGGCTCTTCAAATTTGACCTTGACTTCCCCGCTGTTCTTGAGTTTCAGAGTTGGGTCTCTAAAGGCATCCTTGTTGACTACAGTTTTGTCCAAGGGGATGTCCACAGAGGATCTTGTGGACATGAGGTGATTGTAGTTATAAACTCCCACAAAGGAGTTGATCTTTGATCTCTTGACAATTTTTCTCTTGCCCATGCAGTTGTCACTTCTTGGGGATAGTGGTTAACCAGTCACCAGAGCATGGCTGTAAGGGCAGTCTGAGAGGTGCCATCATCAGTGTTCTTTACAATGACAGCCGTACATCTGGAGTAGTTAGATTCCAACCCTGGGTTTGATGAACTTACCCAACTCAACAGCAAGCTGCAGAAAGTAAGGCTATTTCTTGAAAATGGGTGATGCAGGGTGCATGCTTGGCTCATGGAAGTCCCCAAGACAGAAATGATTGTTAAGCACCTGCATCTTACACTGCTTGTGGGGGTGGCTCACCCTGGACCGAGGACACAAAAGAATGTTCCAGTTTCTGTCTGTGGCTCCCACACTTAGCAGCAAAGGGAAGGGCTCCCTCAGATCCAGCTGGAATCTGAGCGGTTACCCACAGAAGCCCTGCTGGGCAAGGCCTCAGAGCCTGGGCAGGGTTTCGTGGAGAGGATCAGAGATTCCTGGGGGGGCTGGGAGGATGGAACGGAGGATCTGTCAGAAACTAGGCGGGTCACAGGGTGGTAGAGAGCAGGGTTTTGTAGCTATCCAAGTTCTGCCTGTAAGCTTGTGGTGTGGGGGTAGCAGTCAGAATCACAAGCTGAAAAGAACCTCTAGACAAGTCTGCTCTCCTCTGAGACTGTTTTCCAGATGAGGAAACTCCAGATGGGAGGGGCATCCTATGGTCACTGCTAAAGGGGTTGGGGGTAGAGCCATAGCCTTCCAGGGTGCCCCGTCTCTCTCTGTTCTGTTTTGGTGTTTCTACTTATTTATTTATTTACTTACTTACTTCATTTTGGTTTTTTGAGACAGTGTTTCTCTGTGTAGTGCTGGCTGTCCTGGAACTCACTCTTTAGACCAGACTGGCCTTGAACTCAGAGATCCACTAGCTTCTGCCTCCAGAGTGCTGGGATTACAGGTGTGCACCACCACTGCCCAGCTTCTTTGGTTGTCTCTTAAGTGTGGTCCCCTTGGCCATGGGGCCCACAGAGCCAGCCCTCAGTCCCTCCGCCCAGGCAGACAGCTCCCTTCTCCAGTGAGCCTCCTCCAGGGGGTGGACCTATCCCAGCTTCCCAGTCTCTCTGAGTTTGTCTGGGCTGAGACTAGTTTATGAACCCCGTGGAGCTGAGCACAAAACACTCCTCAGGAGGCTCCAATCTGGGACTGTCTTTTGAACCTTACTCGGGACAAGAAAATGGGGAAAGCAGGCCACAATGGTGAAAAGTAGCTGTATTATTATAAACAGGGTTGCTTACTCTGTCCTTTCTGTGGCCAAGTTCACCTTATCCCAAGTCATCTTCTCAGCAGCCTCCCATAGATGATGTCACCACCTGACAGGTAGAAACTGGGTTCCCAAAGGACAGATGACTTGCCCCAAATCATGACCAGCTTTCAACAGAGTGGGGCTCAGAGCCCCGTCGTGCTCCTAGTGCTCTGCGTGGGAGGGGGACTTGGTAGCTCAGAGCAGGACTCAGTGGGCCATTGTGCCCGTCATTGGCTAATCTCTAGACCTATGATGAAGCCCTGAACCTTCTGGCTGACTAGAAGCTAGGCAACCGAGCGGGAGGGGAATCACTGGATCCTGGAGTGCTCCTTTTACCCCAGGCTTCGGGGTTAGATCTTGCTGAACCTACTCAGCAGGGGGCAGGGCTTCATTGTGAGTCACAGGCTCCCCAGAGATACCACAGCCCTGGAGTTTACCGTGTTCAGGGACTTAGAACTCTGTACCTACAAGTTCCGGAGCAAAACCTTCCGTCACACACTGGATAGCCTAGAGGACTTGACATCCAAACTTTACCCACACCAGGTTTCCCATCTGCACCATCCTGAGTCAGGGGTGGTCATCCTAAACTCTGAGCTGAACGGCTTAGACCTGTGTGGGAGGCTGGCTGGAGTCTCCGGAGACAGGCCTGGGGAGAGACAAGACGGCGGGAGGAAACAGGAACTTTCCAAGAGAGACAAAGATTAGTTTGTGGGAAAGGAGAGAATGGACAGATAAGGCACCGTGGAGAGGTGGCTCAGGCCAGAGGAGCAGCTCCATGTGGGGCCCAGCCCAGCCCCAAATATCTCCACTGTGCTCTGCCACAGACCAGGGGACACAGAGCAGGCCCCAGACATGAGTCCAGACTCCAGAGAGGCCACATGGTGTACAATGAGATCTGGCATCGCCCAGCATCTTGTGGCATGACTCCAGGCAACCTCTGACCCTCTCTGGGTTTCTGCAGCCGTTGCCTTCCTTAGCTTTCATAACTATTCTGTGGTATAGGGCCCAACATCTTTTATTAATGAGCAAACAGGCTCGCAAAAGGGGAAAATGTGTTTTAAGGTCTTGGCGCACCAGTGACAAAATCAGGGCTCAAACACCAAGCTGTCTGGCTCCAGTTTCTAAGCTGTTCTGGACTTCCGTGTGGGCTGCCCAGTGGTGAGGGGAGCCTCTGATGAGTGGGATTGGGGTCGCGCAGGAGAGAGAGGATGATCAGGACTGAGTAGTTTGGATGTCTGTGGCTTTACTGCCAGGACTTCCCCACGTGAACTGCCACCGGGCTGTCCCCTGCCTGACCACCAGGCCACCTCCCACCTGCATAGGTGGCTGGCTGCAGGCAGAATACTTGGGCAGTCATACTTTTTAATTTTACATTCCAATCCCAGTTCTCCCTCCCTTCCTCCTCTCTTCCTGTTTCCTCCACTTCCCCCGCACCTCCCAGCTGCTCCTCAGAGAGGGTAAGGCGTCCCCTAGGAAGTCTACTAAGTCTGTTCGATCATCTCCTTGAGACAGGACCAAGGCACCTCTTCATCCCCCCCCCCACATCCTTGTGTCTAAGCTGAGCAAGGTATCTCTCCGTATAGAATGGGCTCCACTAAGTCAGTTTGAGCATTAGAGTTAGATCTTAGACCCACTGCCAGTGGCCTCATATATTGTCCCAGCCACACCATTGTCACCTATATTAAGGGAGTATAGTTTGGTCTTATGCAGGTTCCCCTTATACAGCTCGGGTCAGCTGACTCTGAGGTTTCCCCACCATGGTCTTGACTCCTTTATTCATATTATCGCTCCTCCCTCACTTCGATTGTACTCCCGGAGCTCGGCCCAATGGTTAGTTGTGGATTTCTGCATCGAGCAGTCATACTTTTAACAGGTTCCCTTGCTCATATTCCTAATATCTGCTCCCCAGGCTAGTGGCTGCTGAGGACATTCTCCTTGTCAGTCCTGGATCCTCAGGGCCAGGGTTGGGGGTGATGGAGGGAAGAAGAGCAGGAGAGAGAGGCTTGCCCATAGTCACGAAGCTGATGGGTAAAGACAAGACCTGGTGAACCTGAGATCCAATGCTCCTAGGCAGGGCACAGATGCCATTAAACACAAATGTTTATTTTATGCCTTCACTGCCTCTGCCTCCAAAGAATTGTGCTGGCCTCAAGGAGACCAAAGAGCAGGAGGCAGGCCAGGAGGCACCGGGGCTGCAGCCAGCATAGTCCGTGAACTTGAAGGTTCCTTCCAGTTTTATATTCAGTCAGGGAGGGTTTTCCTCGACTCCGGGCCTCTTCTTGGAAACACCCCAGGACACAAGGATGCTGATTCTAGCTTGTCTATTTCCTCCCCTTTCTCCACCAGGGCCACACGGGTTGTCTTGTGTCAACCTTACTCCTTGCCCCATACCTCCTTCCCAAGCCCTCTCCTCACTCCAGCACCAGCCAATCCATCTGGCTCAGAGCAGGCCATTAATCCCAGTTCCATTAACCCTAGAATTTACCTAGGGGAGTATCAGCTCGGCTGCCTCAACAAGGTCCACGCCACTGCAGCCAGAAGATCAAGGAGCAGGGGTGGCCTGGACAGTGAGCGAAAGAGATGGGAGGCAAGGTCTCTCCAGGAGACGGGCTCGGGCTTCAGAGACTCCAGTTCTGTGGGATTCCATGGACTCCCGGAAGAGTGGCCCTGCTCTCTGTGACAGCTGGCCCTCACCGACTGGATTGAGACCAAGTCTCTGCCCTAGCCACGATGAAGTCTTGAGCCCAGACTCCACTCCCAGGTTACCTCAAGTCTCTATGAGGGTCTCCCCTAATACATGCCTCCGGGCCCCTGTGCTCCTTGGGCTGTGAACACTGACAAATTGGACTCTGAGGATACCATTTTGCCCACTGTGGTCTCCCAGGCCCACTCCAGGCCGGAGGAGAGTAGAAGTACCTGAGATGAGGCCCATATCAGGGCTGAGGCTGGAGTTCTTGTCCAGACTGCGTGTGTGGTGCGTGCCACCTCCCTGATGCTGTTCACCTGGTGTTTGGAGACTCCCAGGCCCCACCCACCTCTGAAGGGCAGTTTATTGATGAGATCCCTGATACTCCTCCTCCCTCTCTCCCTCTGGTCCTGGCCTCAACCAGGGGAGGTTAGATCCTGCCAAGCCTTGTCCACAAGCTTTAGTCTTCTACACACCTGGCTGGCGTGGGCAGTGAGGCATTCCCCCATCCTGCTGGTGACCAGGGCCATGGAAGGATTAAAGCAGAAGCAGAGGACGGATTCCAGCATCATCTGCCCTGGGACTCAGTATCTGGGGCCTGGACATGTGTTTCTAGGAGAAGCTCCCAAAGGAGGCATGACTGGAAGGTTCTAGAGGAACTATATTCACAGCCAGGCAGGCCTGTAATCCCAGGGAAGTAAAGAAGATTGAGTTTGAGAGTAGCCCAGGCTACATAGAAAGACTTTATCTCAGAAAGCCAGAACCAGGGCCAGTGAGATGCCTCAGTGGGTAAACATCTTTGCTACGCAGGGCTGGTAACCTCAGTTTGAC